ATCTATGTGGTTTTATGATTTATTTATGATTTATGAAAGGATTTTAGGATTTCTGATAAATGACATTTTATAGTAACTGCCTGTTTCCCCAGTGTTTTCCTTTACTAAGTGTTGTTCTTAAATACCTTTGTTAATATCTCATTTTATTTCTATATTTCTTATTTTAATTTTTTTCTTTTTTCCATTTTTTATTTTAATTAGAAACAAGATTGCTTTACATGTCAATCCCAGTTCCCTCCCCTCCTCCCCTACCACCTTAATTTTTTCTTATTTTATGTGTATGGAGTGTTTTGACTGTGTGTACGTATATGTAACACATTCAATGTCTGGTGCCTGGGGAGGTCAGATGAGGGTGTCACGTCCCCTGGAACTGCAGTTACAGATGGTTGTGAGCCACCATGAGGTTGACTGTGTGTACGTATATGTAACACATTCAATGTCTGGTGCCTGGGGAGATCAGATGAGGGTGTCACGTCCCCTGGAACTGCAGTTACAGACGGTTGTGAGTCACCATGAGGGTGCTAGGAATTACAACCTGGTCTTCTAGAAGAGCACCAAGTGTTCTTAACCATTGAGCTACTTCTCTAACCCCTAAAACCTCAGTTTAAATTGTAATTCTTTTGTCTAGTTAGTCATGTAACACATGCATTATGCAATAGGTTCCACCACTGGCATTGGGGCTGCAATGGAAATGAAACTTACAGAACTTACGACTTTGGTGAGAGCACTATTAAGCCAAGAATTATTAAGGCGAGTAACAGTAAACCAAGAATTTCGAAAATACATGCATACAGCTATAGCACTGTTTCAGAAAAGAGACTCAGAGTATACAAAAATAGTACACAGAGGAAACTAACCAACTTGAAAGCAGTTGGAGGTGAGGTCTCCTTAAGGAAGTACTGGCTGAACTGAAGGAATGATTTAGGCAAACAGAACCTGAAGTATCTTGGCTGAGGCTGCCAGGAAAGAAAGGGATAACCGTTAGGAGTATAGCCATGTTAAAATTTGACCTTTATTCTGATAGCAATGATAAGTCAGTCACTAGAGGTTTGTAATCAAATAAAATGATGGGTTTACTTTGAAAATGAATACTTCTGCTGCTCACGGAGAAGCTTGGGCACCTGAAGATCAGAGTGGATTTGGGAAACAGTTAACTTCTGCAGCAGTCCCAGCAAAGACAATGGCCAACTGGCAGCAAAAGACAGTGATAAACTGGAGCATGGCGCCATGGAGACTATAAAAGACTCATAGAACGTGGAGGGGGTTGAAAATAAAAGAGGAGAGTGAGGTGATAAGGGCAATGCTTGGGTTTCTAGCAGGGTTCTGCTTGCTACATATATGTTTATGGTTTTCCTTTAAGGGCAAGAGGGAAGATTTTCTTTTCAAGAGGGAGATGTTCTCTTGTCAGATGCTACTTAAAATTTGAGTAAACTGAAGATAAAAATATGTCACCTAGACTTACTGATATAAAATTAGCAATTCTGGAATGAGATATTTAGGGGTAGAGAAACTGTGCAGAGTGAAGAGCACTTACTCCTCTTGCCAGGGACCTGAGTTCAGTTCTTAGCATTCACCCCAAGAAGCTCATAACCACCCATAATTCTATCTCCATAGGGAGGTAACGACTGACCTCCACAGGCACCTGCACTCATGCGCATGCCACCCCCATCACATACACATAATTAACAATAGTGAAAATGAAACTTTCTGAAAAAGAATATTCTAGAGGAGTGATAGGGAATGACTCTAAGTGAACAGCACCAACCAGAGTCTGCAGCAAAATTTCATGAAAACTTTGACAAGTATGGAAGGAGAGACAGCTAAGAGAAATTCCAGATTAAAAAGAAGGATCCTTCCTTTTCTCCTTTTTTAAGAAAGTATTTATTATTATTATCTTACATGTATTGATGCTTTGCTTGCATGTATGTCTGTGTGAGGGTGTTGAAACCCTTGGAGCTGTAGTTCCAGGCAGCTGTGAGGTGCCATGTGGATGATGGGAATCGAACCCAGGTCCTCTGGAAGCTCTTAACCACTGAGTCATCTCTCCAGCCCCCTTTTCTTCTTTTGTATGTTGAAGGTATTGGAATGTACCTAATATATTTAAATGCTGATGAGAAAGTCCCAGTATGTGGAACAAAATAAAGTTTCTTCTTTTGTATGTTGAAGGTATTGGAATGTACCTAATATATTTAAATGTTAATGAGAAAGTCCCAGTATGTGGAACAAAATAAAGTTTTTTTTTAAGTAAAGTTGTTTTTTAAGTTGGAAAACAAGCAGTCAAAGCTCAGGTATTAGGAGGGAGACAGGTGGATGTAGTTACTTTGTATTTCTCTCTACATTGGAAGGCAAAGACATCTTTAGGGAGGGGGAAAAGACGGGCAATATTTAGAGGTTGGAAGAGAGAGAAAACATTTGAAAAGGACAGATTGAAGGAAAATGAATTTGTTGACTGAGGAAATGGAAGAGGACTACTAATATCATTTGATATTAAAATCCATGAATGCACAAAAAAACCAATATGGGGTGAGTCTGGTGACTTCTCAAGCCAGAACGTAAGACAACCTGAGAAGATGAACAGCTGACTTCATCCCAAGTTACAGTTTTGCTAGACAATAATTATTAATGAAAAGTGTGATTGAGTATAAAGCCATCACGTCTCAACTGCATAAATAAGTATGTGGAGCATAAAAGGAAGGACTTACGGTCCAGTAGAAGCGGGCATTGGAGAGTCAACTACCAGAAATCCAGGCTGGGCTAAGAGCGGTCAGGGTGAAAACTGAAAAGCCCTTTTTGTGGTAGACAGCACACAAATGAATAATTCAGAGGCAGGTTTAAAGTGATTCCAAGGCATTTTATGGGAATTGGATGGCTAAAGCGGAGCGTAGAAAACATCACTGGAAATATTCTCAGGGAACTAAGGAGATAACATACTGGCTTCGGTGACATGGGAATGACTTAGCGTGGTGGCACAGCTTGGAGTAGAGAGAAAGACTAGCAGAAAGATTGGTGCAAATGTGTGTCCTACTTGGAAGCAAATAAGCCGGAGGGATGGACTCGTATAGAGTGGGCACAGAGAAAAGGTCTGGAGAACAAACACTGGAATCCAGAGGCCGTATTTCCTGCCAAGGGCGGAAGTGATTGTGAGGCAGATAGGCAGTGTCACTCTGTGTCTGGGTGTCACCTTCTGGGTAGTGACTGAGGAGTCAGGACTGAGAAGCGGTAGCTGGAGTTTCTGTGGTGAGGCTGGGTGTTGGCTGAGTGTGCCGAGTTTTTATCTTTTCATCCTCTGCGAATTCCATCTTGCGTACTGCTCACTTTTAACACTTTGCAATGGTTCTTTACATAGAAGAAAAGATTCCACTTCTCTGTGTATTACAACTATTTTTCCCAAATTACGTTTTTGTTTTTGTTTTTCGAGGCAGGGTTTTTCTGTGTAACAGTTCTGGCTGCTCTTGAACTCACTCTGTAGACCAGGTTGGCCTTGAACTCACTGAGATCTGCTTGTCTCTGCCTCTCAAGTGCTGGGATTGAAGGCGTGCGCCACTACTGTCCAGTCCCAAATTACTTTTAATTTTGTTTATAAGTTCTCCTTTATAGTATAAAGTTTTTTTAAAAAAGATAAAGCCAACTTTATCTGCTTTTATCTTCCACTGTGGTCTTTGGTATATAATATAATAGAGTACAAATTTTCTCCTATTGATTTATATATAGGTATATTTTGCTGGATCCCTACCCCAGTATTTCAGTGGTCAAATTTTATGTATAATTGTGGGGTTTCTTCTTCCTTTCTTCCTTTCTTTCTTTTTCCCTTTCTCTCTCTCTCTCTCTCTCTCTCTCTCTCTCTCTCTCTCTCTTCCTTTCTTCCTTTCTTTCTCTTTTTTTTTTTACAGTGTGATTAGTTGTGACAAGATTTGTATTTCTGTCTGTAAGGAGTGAAAGAAGTCCTATGTGGATGAATTCCCAAGTGAATGTGTTGTATGGACATGAGTTAGCCGTACCTAGAGGTTGTCCCCACCAAAACACCTATTAAAACTGGTCATTGAGGTTTCCATGCTGAAAGATAGTAGGGCTATTAGGGAATCATTAGCTCAGTTGGTACAGTCAATACTTACCCAACACACACAGAACCCTGGGTTCAATTCCCCAGCACCTCACAAACCAGGGGAAGGTGATGCTTGCCTGTAATCCCTATACTCAGAAAGAGGAAGTGGGAGGGTCAAAACTTCAAGGCTATCCTCAGCTATATGAAAAGTTCAGGTCCAGCCTGGGCTACATGAAATCCTATCCCAAAATGTTTGTTTTTTAATTCAAAGGTAACTAGAGATTGATTGTCATGAAGCACTTAGCACCGTATTGTTAATACTTAGCACCAGGTTCTCAGCATATGCAATGCTTCCACGCTGCTTCCTCCAGGAGCTGAAGCACTTGCAAGACCCTTATCAGAAGCCAAGCATAGGCTAGTGCTAGTCTTTACATATAACCTAGTCATAGGTGTCCCATTACAGCAACAAAGAATAGACACAGACCTATTACTTAGTTTGTGTTTTGTTGATAAGAATTAGGGTCTAAGGAAGGCTGAGAAGTACTGTCATTATCTGTGTGCCCTTGTACCCAAGAGGAATGAAAGTATTTGGGGCGCACAAGCAGCCTGCCATACTGAGAAATGACATGAAATCTATTTGCAAGAAGTATGGACTTTACAGACATTACTCCTGAATATGATTACATTTACATTTTTATTGGTTGTGTGTGTGTGCTGGTCAAAGGACAGCTCTCAGGAGCTGGCTGTTTTCTTTCCACTGTGGGATTTGGGGGTTGAACTCAGGGCATCGGGCTTGTATGGAAGGCACTTTCATTACCTGAGCCGTCATATTCTATTATTGTGTTTGTCTTCTTTAGAAAAGTCCTTCACATCCACACCAACACATATACCCTTTCCATGTAGGAAGAAGGTCACACTAGGGCACTAATATCCCTATCTTCCTCCCTTCCACACCGCTACAGATTCACAATCAATGACAGAAACCTTGGCCGGATCGTCACCATCGCCGAGCCCTTCAACACCGAGCTGCAGCTCTGGGAGGTAGGGAACCAGGTCACTTTCGACCTGCCTAGAAAGGAACAAGCTTAAGCTGTTCTCCCAAAGAGATGTGATGGTTTCTCCAATCAAATCCCAGACACAAGGAGAGAGAGAAACCCCTTATATCTAATCAATTATACACTGCTTCTTTTACTAACTGGAAAAAAATGATTCAAATGATGAAGAAGTTTAAACCCTGAGAAATGAAAGGCCCAGGAAGGCTGGGACTGGCTGACAGAAGTGACTGCAGCATGTCTCTCCTATCCCCGTAGCTATCGGTGTCTCTGGGACAAGTTGGTTGAGATCGGAATCCATTCCGAATTGATAGTTTGGGAATTTTGAAATGAATCCTAAATCACTGAAATCTCAGTGAAGGAAAACTTATGTCCCTTAATGTAGGACAAAGAGAGATGTCTCCACGTCTGTGCAATAGATATTGAGATGCTTAGATTCCTGCATGTTAAAGAAACAAAATAATTCTTAGTATTGAAAATGGCAGATAATACTCTGGTTGAATTTTCGGAAGGAGTTTGGAAGGTAGAAAGAGCATAGAACTATATTCAAGAGAGATTTTTCTTACAAGCCTTTAGGAAATGAGCTGAAAGTATGGGAAATTCTCCAGACCTCTAGAGTTAAAAAAAAAAGTTGGAGAAAAGCCAGCATTCCACAGGCCACAATGTCCACGGGACACCTTGGGAAATGCACAGACAGTAGAGAAATCCACAGACGTGGACATGCTAACCATGGCATCATGCCCTCCTTCCCTGTCATAGCCTCTTGTGGTTAAACTGGCTCTCAGGGGCCCAAAGCCCAGAAGGGTGATTGCTCATGTGCCTGGCAGGCCCATTCTGAGTGCTACAGGAGGTGCTGTCATAACAAATTCCCCATGGGAAGAAACAAAGCCAGTTTCCAAATGGAATTCCTGAAGAGATGGGCCTCAATCAAATGGTTCTTTTAATTATTTCCTTCTCTTTTCTAGATGGAGAGCTTTTTTGCAAAATATCCAAATGCTGGAGCGGGAGCACAACCCAGACAGCAAGTTTTGGAAACAGTGAAGAACAATATTGAGTGGCTAAAACAAAACAGGGAGACCATCCGAGACTGGTTTGCTAGCTTGCCGAAGGACAGCTAAGGTATTTCGTCTTGTGACTCTGCTGTGCTGTGGCGCCTGAGGAGGCCTGTTTTACAGACTGCAGAGGGAGCCTTCGAAATGGGTTCTGCTTGGGCTAAGTACTGTGTTTATGTCTCGAAAAGCTTTTAAATTATTCCTCTTTGTTTTTGAAGGAAGATACTAATAGAGTATTTAATATCCTCAGGGATTTCTGCTAAGTGTACTTCACAGGGATGTCTTTACAAACGGAAAGGTTTAATAGTCACATTAATGTCTTTAAATATCATTCCTTGTATCTTAAATCTGTGAAAATAGAACAATTTGGTCCTAGCTTTACATTTTTAGCGCCAAAGAAACACCACTTAATCTTCTCTCTTGATTGATTTTTAAAGTTTAAATACCAGTACTTGCGGGACAGATTGCCATCTTAATCTTTATTTTATTATTCAGAATTACATAGACCTAATATCATTTTATTCACATATGTCTCACTGCTTTAAATCCTACCAAAGTAACCTTGGCTTAAGTTTTGTTCAAGGATTAAAGAATGAGCCAAAGAAATGATTGACTGTTGCCTTTGCTCTTACAAAACCAATCGGACAATGCTGTATTCTTTTTTTAAAAAAAATAAATTTAAGTTACTACCTTGAAAAAATTATTTCCCAGTGTCACCTTACTCTTGAGGGAACATAATGGCAGCATTCCCCAAATAATTTAGCACATTGTAAGTACGTATCAGGAGCCTGGCCTTGGTCACGCATGATGCTCCTTTGTCTGTCTTGATGCATACAAAGTTCCTCCAAATGCACTATGAAATTAGTGGGGATGGAGTGCTTAACTGTGCTCTGTGGATTTTACAGGGAAAAGTGAAAGTAATTGGAAACTGTTCAGGAAGGAGAGAAGCGGATTATTCTATAAAAGTAAAAGGGCTTAAGATTTAGCTTTGGCCTCCCTAGCAACAAAAGTGTGAAAATGGAGACACTCGAGGTTGCCTCCAGCATAGATGCATATCTAAGGATGTCTTCTTACATAGAAATTTTACCTATAAACCTTTAAATCCAAAGCCATATAGAAAACCACTGATAAAATTTATATATGTAGGCCAATGAGATGGCTCAGCCCGCCAGCCTGTACTCCATCCCCAGATTGCACGGGTAGAAGGAAAGAACTGATATCTGCAGATTATCCTTCAGACATGTGTTGTGGTGTCTGTGTGTGTGTGTGTGTGTGTGTGTCTGTGTGTGTGTGTGTGTGTGTGTGTGTGTCCACGCACATGTGAGCACATGCACATACTACATTAATAAACACAAATTTGAATTTATGTATGTGTCTAGAGGAAAGGCATCGGCACATGCACATACTACATTAATAAACACAAATTTGAATTTATGTATGTGAGTAGAGGAAAGGTGTCAGTTTCACAGACGCTGGTGGCCAGGGTATGTTGACAGTGGTCCTTGATGTCCAGTGGATCACAATGGCAGTCCAGGAGCCAGGACAGATAGAATTCCTGTCTTGTCACCTGTTCCTTTTAGAAAATTCTAAATTGACTTGGAAAATTAGGGATTGGTTTGGAGCCCATGTGCACAATAAAAAAAAAAAATGTTGGCCTTAACTTTGTTTACACAATGTGCCTCAAGCATGCACGCCAGTGCTGTACTGATAGTTGTCTGTGATCAAAAAGTTGGCTTTAAAAGAAGTTGGAAAATGAGCCGGACAGAAGGGATGCTCACTGCCTTGAGAACTGTGTTTTGTGCTGACGCTTCTTTGGAACACCCTTACACATTGAACTGCCATCGGTAAATGTAAAGCACTTATGCCCTCGTGGCAAGTGAGAGTGTGTGATTTCCAGATGGGTTGGATATTGTCTGTCAACCAAAGAAGTTGGAAAATGAGCCGGACAGAAGGGATGCTCACTGCCTTGAGAACTGTGTTTTGTGCTGACGCTTCTTTGGAACACCCTTACACATTGAACTGCCATCGGTAAATGTAAAGCACTTATGAAAGAAGTTGGAAAATGAGCCGGACAGAAGGGATGCTCACTGCCTTGAGAGCATTGTTTTGTGCTGACGCTTCTTTGGAACACCCTTACACATTGAACTGCCACTGGTAAATGTAAAGCACTTATGCCCTCTTGGCAAGTGAGAGTGTGTGATTTCCAGATGGGTTGGATATTGTCTGTCAACCCTGGGTTACCCTTTCACACACTGCAATATCCTGTCCTGCTCTTCACAGCCCAGATGATGGGGTTAGGACTTCAGAGTCTTCACGAAGCTTAGGCTCCATGGTTGGTGTCCACCCTGCATGGAGTTTGAAAGACAGCAATCGAAGGAGCCATTCTTTTTGTGGTGGTGAGGAGAAAGGGGTGCCAATGGTCAACATGAGTGGGTAGCCTCTGAACTCTGACTCCTCCACCCCCACCTCCACTCCCCTCAATTCCTAGTCTCCCCCTCACCCTCCACTTCTCCCCTG